TGGGCCAGGCAGAAGCCAGGAGCTGAGAACTCAGTTCAGGCCTCTCATCTGGGTACCAGGAGCCCAAGTACTGAGTCATCACCCACTACCTTGCAGGGTACACATCAGCACAAAGCTGGAATCAAAAGCAGAGCTGGGGGGCCAGTGCCTGCAGTGCTGGCATCCCATATGGACGCCGGTTCAAGTCCTGGCTGCTCCATTTCCGATCCAGGTCCCTGATAATGCACCTGGGAAAGTAGCAGAGGATGATCCAAGTCCTGTACCCACGTGGGAGACCCAGAAGATGCTCCTGGCTCCTGGCTTCAGATCAGCCCACGTCTGGCAATAGGGGCCATTTGGGGAGTGGACCAGCGAATGGAAGATTCTCCTTCCTTCCCTTCCCCTCTCTTTCCCTCCTTCCCTCTCTCTCTCTCTCTTTCTGGCTCTCTGGCTCTGGCTCTGGCTCTCTCTAACTCTACCTTCCAAATAAATAAATAAATATAAAAAAAAAAAAAAAAAAAAAGCAGCGCTGGGTATGGGATTCAGGGTCCCAGGCAGTGTTTTAGCTGCTGTGGCTAACACTGTCCCCACCCCTGTAACAACTTTGAATGTGCACACCTTTGACCCAGAAATTGTATTTCCAGAAGCACTCATACATTTACAGACAAATAGATACATGGGGGAAGCAGTACTATCATATTATCTATAATAGTGTAAACGCTGGGAACAACCAAGCATCTGACAGCTAGCTTTCTCCTGCTTTGGGACTAGAAACTAAATCCTGTTTCTCTGGTTACCGTAAGCTGTTGCTTATGAGACCCAGGGTAGAGGACAAGTGCCTGTGACATGGAGGAGAAGATGGTTCACACCTCCTAGGCTAGGTACACATCCCAGAACTGCATATTCCCTTCTGGGAATTAAGTTTACCTCTGCACCCAGGTTGAGTTTGTACTTTTTTACTTCTGCATTTTCTAACATGAGTCCCTGAGCCAGGTAACCCACATCTGTGGGGAATTTTATTAGCAGCAAGTAATTTTTAAGAAAGAGATTTGTATGTGGCGAATCTAGAGGCTGCAGAGAGCTACTTTAGATTCTGACACACACTTTCATCCTTGTCAAGGCTGAGGAGCCTGTGTCGTACTCCACATAATGAAAATCATAGCTTAGTCTCCATGACCGTAGACCTGACAAATTCCTGTGATTTCCAAAAATGGAATGGCTTCCTAATACGTTAGTCACTCTAGGGCTGTAAATACAAGACAGAAATCTGCAGTCACTGACAAGAAATAGGAGGTCCCTCTGTACACCCAGCTGTACGACTCCTTGACGGGATGTTTAATATTTATCAGACATTGATTAGAATCTCTTTACCCAGGAGTTTAATTTGCATTAGGCATGATGTTACTGCCAGAAGCCAGCAGTTGGGCTACACTCATGCTGCTTGACAGAAATAAGTGGGCCACAAAACCTCAAAGTGTCAAGTAGCCGCAGTGAGTAAAAACAACAGGTGACATGAATTTTAGTACTTTTTTTTAGCCTAATATATTAAAACTGTCAACCAACATATAATCGATAGTTAAAAGTTTACACTCCTGTTGGGGTACTGAATGCTTTGAGGTGTAGTGGGTATTTTGCATTCAGAGCTTCTCCACAGTCAGCCCAGGATGCACTGCCCTGTGTGGCTAGTGGCTGCTGCACTGGCCAGTGTGGGCGAGGCTGTGGCTCCAGGGTACCAAGAGAGTGATTATCTTACCATTGCACTGCCAGCGCTTAGCACCGAGCATGGTAAGTGCTATTTTTAATTCAGTGAATTAGTGGATAAATATAAAACCATCTTTTTCCTAACCCTTCAAGGTGTCATCCATGTGAGTTCCATTTGTTACCAAAATAGTTGGCAGTACACTTTGAACACCATTCATGCCGTGCAACCAGTTAGAAAAAAAATCTTAGAATATACCATGTTGCCTAATAGCCACTTTAAAATTATCTGTTGGCTCCAAATAACACAGCAAATGACCTGATATTCCTTTTTTGATAAAACATTGCAAGACATGAAATACTTTCATAGGTAAGGTGTTCTTATTAATTTTTTTAGATTTTGTTTATTTATTTGAGAGGTAGAATTACGGACAGAGAGAGACAGAAAGGTCTTCCATCTGCCGGTTCACTGCCCAAATGGCCACAATGGCTGGAACTAGGCTGATCCGAAGCCAAGAGCCCGGAACTTCTGGGCCTCCCACGCAGGTGCAGGGGCCCAAACACTGGGCCATCTTCTACTGCTCTTCCAGGCCTTAGCAGCGAGCTGGATCAGAAGAGGAGCATCTGGAGCTAGAACCAGTGCCCATATGGGATGCTGGCACTGCAGGTAGAGACTTAGCTTACTACACCACAGTGCTGGCCCCTTGATAGAGATTCTGAAGACTTGTTTGTTGAACATAGCAACTCTCTCTCTCTTTTTTTTTTTTTTTTCCTTTAATTTTGTCTTGCTCGGGGGTGGCGCTGTGGCTTAATGGGTTAAAGCCATGATCCGCAGCACCAGCATCCCATATGGGCACTGGTTCGAGTCCTGGCTGCTCCACTTCTGATCCAGCTCCTTGCTGATGCGCTTGGGAAAGCAGTGAAGGATAGCCCAAGTGCTTGGGCCTGCACCCATGTGGGAGACAGGGAGGAAGCGCCTGGCTCCTGGGTTTGCCCTGGCCCAGTCCTGGCTGTTATGACCATTTGAGGAGTGAGCCAGCAGATGGAAGATCTCTTTCTCTGTCTCTCCTTCTCTCTCTCTCTCTAACTCTGCCTTTCAAATAAATAATCTTTAAAAATTTTTTTTTGACTTACTCATTCTTAAAAAGAAGCATTTGTGTCTTGGAAAGGTCATTGGGTATTCTAACACCTGTCCCCTAAAGCTTGTCCCTCGAGCATAGTAGTATCAAAAGCACACTCAGAGTTGGACACTGTTTTGATCAGCCCTGTTACCATTTACTTTGGCCTGAAGTTCAAGTCAACAAAGCTTTCAGTACCTGTTAGACAGCCCCAGCTCTTTCAAGTGTTGTGATTGACACAGGGTAATTGTTACACATGCCCTTTGCCCTTTGAGGAGTTTATAATCTATTTGGAGAAGAAAAGCAAAGTGACGAAATGCATGGAGAAAAGCTAAATGCCAGATTGTTCAGTGTTTCCTGTATACCCTTGGCTTGACTACAGAAAGTTTAACACGAATACATTCCTCTTCCTCAAATAGCTCCCAGCCTGCTGGAAAGACACATGTAAACCAGAAAGCATGTTGGAACCTAACAGATGTGTAAAGAGGTACGGTAGTATCCCTAAGTACACTGAGACTCAGGTCAGCAACTTGTCCAGAGTCAGAGAGAACTTGGGTTCAGACCTGGATATTTAAAGAGCCCTTGCTCTTTCCTCCATGCCACACTTTGTGTTTCAGGAAAGAGAAATTGATGTCTCCACTTAGGGTAGATCACAGCTCACTAGTATATTTGCCAACTGATTATAGTTTGACTCGTATACTACTGTGTTTACATAGTTGTGATGTAATCATGTTGTTAATTACGTGTGTACCCTAGTAATTGAATAGTATGGTTCTGAAGTAGAGGAGCCCTAGGGGTTTTGTTTGTTTTGTTTTGATGAGACAGAGCTGCACAAGGTAGACTTGGAAGCACTCCCACAAGTAAGGATTGATGGGCACGGAGACTAGGCCAAGGTGTAAGGGAAGGACTGTGGGCTTTGCAAGGAAAGACCCACTGAAGCAGGCAGTAGTGAGTGTGAGAGGGGGTCCAGCAAGGCCAGCAGGGGAAAGGCTGGGCGGCGCCGGGCAGCAGATGTGGTCCTTGAGCAATCGGCAAACAGGAGATGGAGGACTGAGTGACTCTTGATTCTCTGTTGTTTTGTCTTTTCAGTTGTTGTTTGAAAGGGTAGTGTAGAAAGTGGGAATTTGATTTGAAAAGTAAACATATGAGGCCTTTTATTAGGTGGCCTGTAAATACTTATGTACATGTATAACATATTTATTAGGTATCTAGCATTGTCCCGAATATTCATGACCATTACACTGATATCTTGTTACTAACATACAAAAACAGATATATTTTTAGGGTTAACAAACAACCACAGTAACTTCTTATTTTATCCAGTATATATTTAAGTATCTTTGGATCTGTAGCTACACAAAAGTTTGCCTGGACTGGCATAAAAAAAAATTGGAAGCATAACAGAGATAACGTAAAGGTTGTTTTGTTACTCTAAAAAAGCCTTGAAGTAATTGTTAGCGAGCAGTTGGTGTAATTTAAACTTTAGAAGGCTTTCAGATACAAGTTGTAGAAAAGCTTTTCCTAGTCAAGTTCTTAGTAGGCTGAAAGCTATTCTTTGAGATGAGTGTAAGGATTTTCTTCGTCAGCCGCCATAATGTCTGGAATGGTGTTTAGATTCTGAATTTTGCTGGAAGTCCTTCACAGACAGTTTTTTTAAAATATGTAATTATATATTGTGGGGAAATCCTAGGTTTTATATGTGTATTTTTATTTATACATGACTCATTCACATTTGTGATTATATTTATGTAGTTCTCTAATATTCACAGTTTAATTTAGTTGACCTGTGTGTGTGTGTGTTTCCTTTAAAGAAATAAGAAAATTTGTCATGCTAGCTTTTTGATTATCAAACAACTCCTTCTCCTCCTCCTCCTCCTCCTCCACTTCCTTCTCCTTTTCTTAAAAATTCCAAGTTGTCAGCCGTTTTCTTGAGTTTATCACGCTGTTTTGCCTCCCTTGGGAAGAATCCTTTTACAGTTAACAAAAAGCTGAAAGTAATTACACGACATAGAAATGGAGACTAGCTCCTTAAAAAAAACCTTAAGTAGTATGTGTGAGTGCATGAAAAAAAAAAAGCAGATTAAAAAGTACACCCATGTTATAAAGCTTCCCTGGCCCCCGTTTGTAGCTAAAATGGTCGTTGCCTAATTTTTGTGTGCTTTTAGTCTGTGGGCCATGGTGAGACCCTGTCTTCTTCTCTCCTAGGCCACAGACCTCCACCAGCACGAAGTGGACATCGTTGTGTGGCAGATAACACCAATCTCTATGTGTTTGGAGGTTATAACCCAGATTATGATGAGTCAGGAGGGCCAGATAATGAGGACTACCCTCTCTTCAGGGAGCTTTGGAGATATCATTTTGCTACAGGAGTATGGCACCAGATGGGCACCGACGGCTACATGCCCCGGGAACTGGCGTCCATGTCACGTGAGTGCATGCAGTTCTGAACTTCTGAATTTACGAAGCGTCTGGGAGGACCACTTCAGTATCATGTGTTCCATGTCAAGAATTTATAATACTGCAATATGACTTCACTTTAGTGGATAGACTTGTTTACAGTGGTAGTAATATATAGTATGATGGTTCAGAATGAGCTGGGGCATGAGTTCGAATCCAGCTGTGCACTGTATGTTTGCCAGATTTATTTTAGCTTTAATGTCCTTACCTGGAAAATGGGATGAATAGCATCTCAGAGGGTTCAGTACATGCTGTCTCAGATAGGCTGGTAGATCAGCAAACGAGGTTCCTAACGATGATGATGGGTAGCCACTGAGCGGAGTACTCCTCACCCATGGTCGCTCATCCTCACGGCAGCCCTGTGATGCAGGCACTGGAGCGACTGCCGTTTCACAGGTGAGGGAATGGGGGTCGCAGAGAGGCCCTGCAGGGTCCCAGCTAAGCGTGGAGGCTCTGGAGCCAGACCACCCAGGACGGAATCCAAAGCACTGTCCACCTCTGTTTCAGTGTCTACAAAAATGGAGAAGGTGAGGACAGTCCCTACCTCGTAGGAGTGTAGTAAAGATGAATGTAGGGAGGTTAGGTAACTTGTGAGGTCACACTGGAATTTAAGCCCGGATCCCTGTTTCCAGAGCCTATGCTGTTGCCCACGACATTGTATCAGAGAATTAAACATTTTTTTAAAAAGCTACCAAAGCAATATAGTGGCCCTGTTTTGTAAAGAAGATAGTGTGTGTGTGTGTTTGGTGATGAGTGGTTCGTGTGTGTGTGTGTGTGTGTGTGTACGTGGAGGGGGGCAGGAACAGAAGAGATACAGAGAGGAAGAGCAGCACTGTCACTTGCAGGATGTTGGTATATTGCTTTTTATCTGGGAGAGGATTAAAATGGCAGAAACCATAATTTACAATGCAGAGATCATCCCCTGGCAAACCAGAATGAGCCTGTAATCCCTTCATCCAAGTCCCACCTGGTCTTGCCAAGGCAGACGTGACGCTTCCTGTCCTTTGTTTTGCTGCGCACCGGAACCGCCTGGAGCAGCCCTGGCACGCTATAGCTCATGTGGCCCAGTGTTCTGCGCCGTGCACGGCACCCCGGGTACTGCGCGCATGTCGCACAGCTGCCGGTGGACTGAGAGATGCTCCGGTTCCTGTGAACAGGCCCTTTTTCCTTTGTAGTACTTAGATGTCAGTGGTTTGAGCGCATGGCAGGAGACTTCTTGGCATCGCTCGGGTATTCGGAGTGGATGTGGGAGCTGCAGGCAGCCAGTGTGTGAGTGGAATCCATGCTTCTCCCTCCCCAGTTGTTCTGCACGGAAACAACCTGCTCGTGTTCGGAGGCACGGGCATCCCGTTCGGCGAGAGCAACGGCAATGACGTCCACGTGTGTAACGTGAAGTACAAGCGATGGGCTCTGCTTAGCTGCCGCGGGAAGAAGCCCAGCCGCATATACGGACAGGTACCAGTCTGCGGCCAGCTGCGGTCGACGTGTTTATTCGTATCTTTTTACTCTGGGGGCGGTATCAGAATATTTATATTACTACCCATATTTTTAGTGAAAAATAAATTCAGTGTGGTTAGTGTTTACTTAGTCCTGATGTGAACTATAATTTTTAAATCTTGTTGCTTGCCATTTCCTTCCCTTTCTTGCCCTCACTCCTTGTGTCTGATCCAATTTGGGGTCTTGACCTAGGCCTAAAAGCAAGTTTCTTTCAGGTTCAGAACCCTGCCCCCATCCCCACCCCCAGTGAGAAATTGGGCTCCAGTCGGGTGTAGATCCTCCCCTTCTTCGAGTGGTAGGGTTCTTTGGGGAGCTTTCTGACCTAATGAGGAGAGTGAATGTCCCTGAACTTGGTTAAGAGATTTATGTGTGGATCTGAGCTAACACAGATTATGCTGGGATTAATGTGGTTCCAGCGCTTCAGACCTTAGGTTTGCAAAGTTATATCCAGGAAGACGGGGAGCACCATACACCAGAGACTGGGTGAGAGTGAGAGTGATGGGCTAAGCTTAAAATGACCACGCACTCAAGCTCTAAGAAGTGACCATAACATAGCTGAAGTCACATTGAAGAAGAATCAGCGGAGGCTGTTAAGTGCCTTGGGCTGCTACCAGATTTTAGTGGCTAAAGTTCATATTTGCTTCCTCCTCTTCTTTTTTTTTTTTTTTTTAATATTTATTTACTTGAAAGGTGGAGTTGCAGAGAGGCAGAGGGAGAAAGAGAGAAAGTCTTCCATCTGCTGGTTCACTTCCCAGATGGCTGCAATGGCCAGAGCTGGGCCAGCCTGAGCCAGGAGCTTCTTCTGGGTCTCCTGCACGGGTGCAGGGGTCGAAGGACTTGGGCCATCGTCCACTGCTTTCCCAGACCAAAGCAGAGAGCTGGATCGAAGTGGAGCAGCTTTGAAGCGGATGCCGGCACTGCAGATGGAGTCTTTACCTGCTACCCCACAGCACTGGCCCCCAGAGCAATTTTCTTTCGATTGCTTAGAAAGGGAGAGGGTTTTCAGTGGAAGTGCTCATGTCAATATCTATAACTTCTTGGGACCTTCCTAAGGATCATCTAACTCCTCTCCTGTGTAGGTAGAACTTGTTTTCAGTTGAGTTCAGACGACCTTCCTAAAGGTCGTCTCCAGGTTCTAAAAATACTCTGCAAGTTCTTCAAAATCTTTAGTCCTTTAAAAAGGGAGTCTGATGTTTTAAAAGGTTAAAAAGTACAAAGAATTTCATAGACCCTGACTTAATCTAATATCAGATAATAAAGAATTGATATTCTTTAATCAATGCTAATGAGTAAGTGCTGTTCACGTCTCCTTGTTATGCAGGCTATGGCCATCATCAATGGCTCCCTTTATGTCTTTGGAGGAACAACCGGCTACATATACAGCACAGACCTGCACAAATTAGATCTCAACACCAGAGAGTGGACACAGCTGAAGCCCAACAACCTGTCCTGTGACCTACCAGAAGAGAGGTGAGGTTCCAGGTTACAGCACACTGATTACTTCTTGGAAGATACGACCTCTTTCAGAATGTGGGTAACATGAAAGAGACCCTTTGGCCTTAGTTAAAATAGCTAACTGGCTCTTAGGTCCTGGGTCAGCCCTAAGAAAAAGGTCTTCTGGTGAAAATAGTGCTACATTAGCTGAACTATAGAATTTTTTCATGTTATTTCCTCTTATCCTTTAGTCTTTATATGTTAGGAAGGTATTAACACTTTGGAGAAAAAATCAAATTGCATTTAACAAGTGGAAACAGTTACTTTCCAGTTGCTTTTTTATTTCCCTTATTAACTTGTATATTAGGACTCTTTGGCCTATTTACTTGCACTTGTGTCTGCAGAACTGGGCACAGTGCTATACCCATGGTGGTGCTCGGTGACGTTGGTTGGATGGGAGAAAGGATATATGGGAAGATGGATGGGTGGATTGGTGATGGATGGGTGTATTGGTGATGGATGGGTGGGTGGGTGGGAGGGTAATGGGTGGACGAATGGGTAGATGCATGGTTGGATGGATGGGTGATGTATGGATGGGTCAGTGATAGGTGGGTGGATGGACAGGTGGGTGAGGAGTGGGTTTGGGTGCTCTGTTAGACATTCAGACGAGGAATGGTTCTGTTCTGTTGCCTTCTATTCGGAGTCCTAGCTCTTTGACTCTTCTGTCAAATAGCAGTAGCCTCTTTAACATTAAACTCACTGAAAAACTTGAAGATTTTTCCCCCTCCATGTTAAAAGCAAAGCCAATAAGCAAATAGTTATTCACTCTACGTAGACTAATCCAGTGTTTCTGTGTTACTTTAGACAAAACGGCATCTGAGTGCTAAGGAAGACTTTGCCTTCATTGTAGGATGTCAGTGGGCTGATTATCGCAGAACCACCAGGAGAGGGTCTGGGAGCTAGCTTGTACTGGAACGGGTTTTTGATGTAATTAATTTTATCAGCAGAAGGGCCTTTAGGGAAAGGAGGAAACTGATTGAGTGTTCAAAGCACTTTGAGATGGTTGTCTTCTTTAAATCATTTTGTCGACATTTTATGAATTGTTTTAGCTTACAGCTAGACTTCATGTATAAAAGTTCCCATAGTCTTTCATATTGTACCCACAGTCCTCTGTACCATAATTTTCCCCATAATTTATGGGGGTACTTCAAAAAGTTTGTGGAAAAGTGAAATTAAAAGAAAAATTTATTTGGGTCAAAAATTTGGCATCTATGCAAGCTTTTTCATTATATGCCTTCTCTGTTAACTTTTTTAAGTCCCTGCAAAGATATTTTAATTTGAAATTCCAGAGTCTAGGGCCTCTAATTATATATAGTCAGGTCATTTTTTAGAACTGTGACCATTCCCCACCTTATTCAAAATTGTCATCAAAAGATGATAGAAAATCTAGAAAATACAAATAAGCAAAATGAAGAAAATGACAAAATCGAAACTCAGAGATTAACCAGGGATAACATTTTGGATTATATCCTTATAATCATTTCCCGTGCATGTTTGTGTATATGCAAGTTAATAAGACTATAGCCTGTTGGCCTATATAACTTTTTTTCAGTTCCTGAGGTAGGGGAAAGGAGAGAAGAGCAGCTCTCAATATATTAACCATCCTTTATGTCTACATCCTTACTCGATGCATGATAACCCATTTTATGTATTTATTCTGTAATTTAGTCAGTTCTGTTAAGTGCTTATACTATTTCGAGTGACTTATTATTACAAATAATGTTGGTATAACAATCTTGCAGGAGTGGACATTAAGCCTAGTGGTTAAGACTCCTGCATTCCATGTTGGAGTAATTGGGTTCCATAGCTGCCCTGGCACCCCCATACCCACATGGGTGACGTGGATTGAGTTCTTGGTTCCTGGCTTCAGCCCAGCCCTATTCTGGCCATTGCAGGCATTTGAGGAGTGAACCAGTGAATGGGAGTGCTCTCTGTCTGCCTCTGAAATAACTAAATAAATTCTTAAAAAGATTTATTTATTTATTTGAAAGGCAGAGTTAGAGAGAGAGATCTTCCATTTGCTGGTTCACTCTCCAGTTGGCCGAAACAGCTGGAGCTGGGCCAATGCAAAGCCAGGAGCCAGGAGCTTCTTCTAAATCTCCCACGTGGGTTCAGGGGCCGAAGCACCTGGGCCATCCTCTCCTGCTTTCCCAGGCCATAGCAGAGAGCTGGATTGGAAGTGGAGCATCTGGGACTCGAACTGGTGCCCACATGGGATGCTGGCACTGCAGGTGGTGGCTTTACCTACTAAACCACAGCACTGGCCCCTAAATAAATTTTTTTTTAATTAAAAAAAGGGTTACGCCACTACTTGCAACTCCAGCATCCTGTATCAGAGAGGTGGTTCAAGTTCCTGCTGCTCTGCTTCCAATCCAGCTTCCTGCTAATGATCTTGGGAAGGCAGTGGAAGATGGCCCAAGTGCTTGGGTCCCTGCACCCACATGGGAAGCTGAGATGGAGGCCCTCTGGTTTTGGCCTGACTCAGCCCTGGTTGGGGCCTTTGGAAGATTTTTCTGTCTGTCTCTCCCTCTCTGTTGCTCTGCCTTCCAAATAAAATAAATCTTTGGGGAAAGAAATCTTACAGCTGGATCTCAGGTAGATCATTTGTCGCTTAGTCATAAACATTTTATTGTGTATTTTCAGATACAGACATGAAATTGCACATGATGGGCAGAGGATTTATATCTTGGGAGGTGGTACTTCCTGGACAGCTTACTCCTTGAACAAGGTATGCTCTTTTAAAAAAGAAGGGCCGTGTTTGATTTAGCAGTTAAGTCAGTGCTTGGGAAACTCGCATCCCGTATGGGAGTGCCAGGTTCAAGTCCCAGCTCCTCTGTTTCCGAACCAGCTGCCTGCGGCTCACACCCTGGGAGGCAGCAGGTGATGGCTTAGGTGCTTTTGTTCCTGCCACCCCCTTGGAGACCCGGATTAAGTTCTGGGCTCCTGGCTTTGTCCTGACCCCGCCCTGGCTATTGTGGGCTTTCTACCTTTCAAATAAAAGGAAAATAAAGCAATAAAAATCGTGATGGTGATGCGGCACAGCAGGTTAAGCCACTGCGTGGAGTACCCATATCCCATCTTGGAGTCCTGGCTGCTCCACTTCTGCTCCATGGGTCCCTGCCACCCCTGTGGCATTGTGGCACAGCAGGGTAAGCCTCTACCTGCAACACCAGCGTCCCATGTCAGAATTCCAGGCTTCTGGCTTTGGCCTGGTTCAGCCCTGGCTGTTGTGAGCGTTTCAGGTTGAACCAGCAGATAGAAGGGTAATAGCTTGCTCGCTCTCTGACTCTGTGTCTCTCTCTGTCTCTGTCTCTATCATTCTGCCTTTCAAGAAGATAAGAAACATAAAAAACATTTTTGAGAAAAAAGAAAACAGAGAGGGATAAGGCTAGAAAGAGGTCCACACCACACCAAGCAGGCGGCTCTGTCACGTCAGGTGTTCTGATTTCTGAGCAGCTTCCTGAACACCTGTTTTGTGTTAGATGCTCTTTATATTGTAAGGTCATATTCTGGGTCCCTGATAGCTTTCCAGTGGACAGCATTCACCACACTCTGAAAATACTTTATGGAAAGTAGGCCCATAACACTAGATGAGAAAAGTGGTGAAAAGGCAAGCTGCACCGCTTGAATGGGACAGCTAATGAGAGCTGGAACCAGGACTCTGGAGAGTGTCACGTCCTCCCCGTCGTCAGTCCTGTGGATCTCAGAAGCACAGGTGCGGTCAGGGCTGCGTGTGTGAGCTTGGGAAGCTGAATCCTGGAGGACTTCCCTGACCCCTGCGCGTGGCATTTCTGAAATGTCACGACGGTAACGTATCCCGGTGAGAATCGTGACCAGGCTGCAGAGTCCTTGGTCTTCTGCAGAACCTTTCTCGAGTCTTGTCAGAGCTGCATTCCCACATTTCCTTACTGGCACTTGCTGCTTCTCCATTATGAAGACGAGTGTGAGTGTTGGAGCCTGGTGTCCTCTGACACTGGCATCCCATATGGGAGCCGGTTGGTGTCCCAGTTGTTCCACTTCCGATCCGTCTCCTTGCTAATGGCCTAGGAAAGCAGTAGAAAATGGCCCAAGCAATTGGGCCCCTGTCACCCTTGTGGGAGACCTGGATGAAGCTCCTGGCTCCTGGCTTTGTCCTGGCCCAGCCCTCCCCATTGCGGCGATTTGGGAGTGACCCAGCGGGTGGAAGATCTCTCTCTCTCTCTCTCTCTCTGCCTCTCTGCCTCTCTGCCTCTCTGTAACTCTTTCAAATAAATAAACTCTTCCAAATAAATAAATAAATCTTTAAAAAAAAAAAAGAGAGAGAGATCATCTATCCATTTCCTGAATGCCCAAAACAAGCAGGGAGCCCAGAGCTCAGTCCAGATCTCCTACGTGGGTGGCAGGGACCAAGCACTTGAGCCATCATCTGCTGCCTCCCAGGGGGCTCGTCGGTGGGAAGCTGAAGCAGGGCCAGGCAGGCACTGCAGTGTGGGGTGCAGCCATCCCAAGCAGCCTCACCGCTGTGCTAATGTCTGCTCCAAGATGTTTTAAAATCCATTTCCAGACCACGTCAAAGCATAGTGACTTATTTCTTTCTTTCTTTCCCCAAGATCCACGCATACAACCTTGAAACGAATGCGTGGGAGGAAATCGCAACAAAACCCCATGAAAAAATAGGTAAGTGTGAATTATTGGTGCGTTTATCTCTAACAAGCGTATTTTATACTTTTCCTTGTCTGGGAAGGGAAGAAGTAATTGTTTGGAGTTGGCAAGTCTAGGATCTGTTGAACTGGTGTTGGGGATTATTTACACTCCTTGAGCCAATTACCATTTTGCTTAGCAGCAGAGCAGAGACTTTTACTGGGGGATTGTTGCGTTCTGTGCAAGTGTGGGGATACGCATGGAGTAGGAAACGGGAGCTTAAGTCAGGCTCTGCCTGTCTGCGCGGGAGGTGCTGGGAGAGCCACGAGTGACCCTGGTCTCCGGCACCTTGGCATCGTGTTGCTGTGATGGATTCTGAAATGAGGACCAGGCCGTGTTTGCCTGGTGCCTGAGTTATGCGCATGTCTTTCATTATGTCCTATCAGTGTTACTCCCAGTGTGGCTGTGAATAATGGAATTCCTTTGTCTGTGTTTGGCAGGGTTTCCTGCAGCCCGGAGGTGTCACAGTTGTGTTCAAATAAAAAATGGTAAGGACTTTCAAGAACACTTTTATTCCATTTCTGCACTTGTGTCTGCTGGGACTCTTGTTTCCTAATGGTAGCTGCTCTGAAGAGGCGGGTGGCTCTGGGATAGGCCTGCTTCTGGTAGCTTAAACCTAAAGGGAGATGCAGAGGTAGGCATCTCAGCAGTTTCCGAACGATAAACTGGTCTGGATTGGGCTTTATTGTGTCACTGGAACTAGTTATCCGCCCCTCAGCAGGTATCTGTGGTTATGGCAGAATGCTATAATCTAGGCTGCCTCTGTAGCAGAGAGCTCGGGGACACTGTATTAAAATGGTGAAAACTCCTTCAGCGTGTGGCTTCCCAAAGTTTATTCTGTCCTCTGTCTGAGGCCAAGTAGAACTCTCAGCTCATTCTTTGGCCACGTTAAAACAGCGGCATTGGCTGGCTTCAGGAAACAGCTGGAGCCACTTTCTCTACGTGTTAGAAATGATTCTTTTCATTTGTAGCTGACTGGATAGCCTGGTGTGCTGACTGGAGGAGGGCGTGCATAAATGAGTGTGATAGCCTGTATCCTTTCAGGAGCTTGGTTCCGGCTTAGCTAGGATTACTCTGCCATTTCTAGTACCGAGAGACTTTAATTTGCTTCCGCTTTATGGATAAGATTTATAGATAGCATTGTTTACCTTTGCAGCTCTGAGAGTGGAGCTGTACAGTAAAGTTTTCCTTAATCCAAAGCAGAGAAGTTTTTGGTGCGTTTTCTAGTTTCATTAAGTTTTGTCTTAAACTTCATCTAGACCTCAAGGAAGGCGTGTATTCATTTGACCCTGAGGTCAAGCACCATCCAAAGGGAATTCAGCCGTAGTGCTGGACGTTCAGCCTGAAGACTCACATAGCCTTGGTTAGACGTTGCCTGATTAGTTACAACTAACTGACTTTACAACGAACAAACCGACAGCTTTCACTTTGGGAAGATTTTGTTCCTGACCCAGAGCCGTGCAGATCACACGCAGCTGCAGATTGTCCTTTGGCCGGAAAGGCTGGAAGAACCTCTTTTGTGCTTCCAAGCCGAGCACTGCGGTGCGCGCTCCTCCTCGGGGTAAATGTCTCCTTAGAGGGCATTTATCTCCATGAGCAGATAAATGTGTGTTCTTTCTAGGACGTTAGTTAAAAGAGCAGTTTGAAAGCTGATGACGTGTAGATCTGTTTTGTTTGAACTCGTATGTGTGTTAAACTTTTTTTACATTAGTGGCTAACACTCAAAAAATCAAAATGTTTCTTAAAAAAAAAAAAACAAAAATCTAGATTTTTCCAGCTTCTCTTAAACAATGGGAAGTTCCGGCCACTGCAAACCTTAAGTCCGCTGTGGGATGAGTCAGCCCGAACACACAGGCGTTGCCTCTTTGGAAGCTGGGGTGCTTCTGTTCATCTGCCCCAGACCCCATGCTCATGGGCTTCCTGTGCTGGGGACCTGCGGGTGCCTGAATTTGAGAACCGTGACAGGAAGCCTCCGTAGAGGCGTGCACCCTTAGTCCCAGTCAAGACCCTGACATAGTGTCCCGGTTCAGCTGGGGGACATGCCAGTGGCACGAGACCACACAGCTGAGGTCCTCTGTTGCGGGGCAGCTCACCTCCCTGGCCGACTGTCACCAGCTGTGTGATGTTCCCGGCGCTTTTCCTTTGTGTGATCCTGGCTTGCTTTCCCCGGTAGACGTTTTCATCTGTGGCGGCTATAATGGAGAAGTGATCCTGGGAGATATCTGGAAGCTGAATCTGCAGACGTTTCAGTGGGTGAAGCTCCCAGCTACGATGCCAGAGCCAGTTTATTTTCACTGTGCAGCTGTCACACCGGTAAGTTTGTGTTTTCACATCTTCCTTGCGTTTTTACAGATGAGAGGGAAATCTTTTTAGGGAGATTAGCAAGGAAAAATGATCTGATATTGGCAAACTTTGGGTCACAATGTTTCTAAAACTTCCTCCCAAAGCTAGTTCTTCCTCTGAAAAAAGAGGAGGAAAAACCCCATCATATGCCCATTTTAAAAAATAACGCAAATGAGGCCAGCGCCGCAGCTCACTAGGCCAATCCTCCACCTTGCGGCGCCGGCACACCAGGTTCTAGTCCCGGTCGGGGCACCAGATTCTGTCCTGGTTGCCCCTCTTCCAGGCCAGCTCTCTGCTGTGGCCAGGGAGTGCAGTGGAGGATGGCCCAAGTACTTGGGCCCTGCACCCCATGGAAGACCAGGAGAAGCACCTGGCTCCTGCCAACGGATCAGTGCGGTGCGCCGGCCACAGTGTGCTGGCCGCAGCGGCCATTGGAAGGTGAACCAATGGTAAAGGAAGACCTTTCTCTCTGTCTCTCTCTCTCACTGTCCACTCTGCCTGTCAAAAAAATAAATAAATAACACAAACGTAAAAGAAGCGTGTGGCACTCGGGCCCTGCGGTGACGTCAGAGGTCAGCCTAGGAGGGCAGAGCGGTTTTACGCCCATGATACCATAATGTTGGAGATGCCGCTAAAAAGACCTTTATTTTCATCATTGTATTCCCAGTATTTGGCACTTGAATACTTATTATAGTTTCAGTTTTATATTAGTTAATAGCAAGTAAAGTTGTTTTTGAAGTAGGTAGAAAAAGCTACAGTGTTTCCCATCGTAACTCATTCATTGTTTAAACCCCTGTGGATCTCTGCACTGTGAGGAATCCTTGTTACCGTGTCTCATCTGAATTCAGCCTGCTCTGCATTTTCTGGCTGAATCTGCAGCGCCGGTGTCCGTTCCTCTCCCATTTCACTTTGTCCTCCCCCGACTGCTGTTTGTTCGTAGGCTGGTTGCATGTACATTCATGGAGGAGTCGTGAACATCCATGAAAACAAACGGACTGGCTCGTTGTTTAAGATCTGGCTGGTGGTACCTAGCCTGCTGGAACTGGCATGGGAGAAGCTGCTGGCCGCCTTCCCGAACCTAGCAAACCTTTCCCGCACACAGCTTCTGCACCTGGGACTCACACAGGGACTCATCGAGCGCTTGAAATGAGGATGTATGAACTGTTCATTGATACTGGAAATGTTAATTTAAAGAGACTCCTTTATTTATGGGCAGTGTAGAATGTGCTACAAAGAGGATTGGTTACCCTGATCAAGGCCTTATTCAGAAAATACATCAGATGCCTTTCTGTACATTGGTTTTTTAGTTTATGGACATCACCTTCCCATGTGCTTTCTTCTTTGCTTCTCTCTCCCGCCCCAGGGTGCACACACACTCACATACTCCTTCCCTCTTGGTGGAGTTGCGGGCGAGTCTGAAGGCACCTTGATAATGTTGTGAATCAAGATGAGATAAAGAAAATTTTTTTAAAAGGAATGTTGAACATATGACCATGTCAGCCAGCGCGCTACAAATTAAAACAGCAGCAGCAGCAGCAAAAATAATTTTAAAATCCAGCAACAGCTACAAGAAGTAGTCTGGAGGACAGAGCGAGACAGCTCAGCTCCAGATCCTGCCCGTTGTACGTGCACCAAGATGCTGACCGAGGGGCGTCTGCCCGAGGGGCTACCGTGAAAGCAGGGCTGACGCGGCTGCACAGATGGAGCCCCAGGACTGTCCCTGGGCTCTGGAGCAATTCTCGGCGAATTGTCTTTTCCTTACCTTGGTGGCACCAGCAGTGGTGCAAGCTGGCCTGTCAAGAGACAGTTTTCGAGTGGAGAAACCGACGGCGGCCAGGGTTGGAGTTTCTGGGCAGTTCTGAACGTCTCCTCTGCCTGTTGCTGGTTGTGGAAGTCTCTCTGATTTCTTCATGGAGAACTGTAGGCCCTAAGTAAACAGGATCAGTTCCGTGGGAGGTTAGGCCAGAGGCGCGCGGGCCAGAGAATCTGCCCCTCCTGGGCGTGTTAGCTGGGCCTCTGCTTGGACTGTCACGGGCCGTTTGCTGCTTCTGCAGTTTCTGGACCGTGTGCTAGCCATTCTCTAGCAGTCGGTCCTTGATGTCCCCCTTACTTGTCGCCGCCTTCTCTCGCTGCTTCAGTGTGCGTGGTGCTGGGAGTCAGTGGCCGGCGGTTGGGTCAAAGGCCTTAGGGGAGGAGCCACAGATCCCCCTTCCCCTGGAACCAGTATCGTTTCCAGGAGGACAGTGAGTGCCATTTGGTTTTTGTGGTGCGAAACTTCACTTCTGATTCCTTTCATGTACTTATAACAAGAAAGCTGACTTCATTGTCAGTCGCTTTGCCGCCTGCTGGTTCCCACGCAGGGCCTCACGGCGGGACCCAGCGGGGGGTGAGAACCCAGCTCTCCTTGAAGTGCCAGCTTTTAAAGTCACCCTTCTTTTTTCTTCATCCCAGAAGGGATCTCTTCAGTTCATGTGTGGATTTAAAATCACCTGGGAGTCATGGCCAGAAAGCTACCCTCGAGTGTTCAGTTCTAGGGAAGAGAGTGCCACGGCCTCTGGCTCCTGCCTCCTAGGCCTTCTCACAGCCTGACTGTGCTGAGTGCACCCACGGGAGCCTGTGCTCTGTGCTGACCACACGGCCTGAGTTTGGGTCCTTTCTGGGGAGTGAGGAGGCTGGAGGAGAGGCGGGGAAAGCCCTTGGCGGCCTGTGCACCTCTCCCGCCCACCGCTGAGGCGCTGTCTCCAGAGCAGGTCAAAGCGAGCGGCTCCCTTGGTCCAAGACAGAGCTTCGCTGCGTGGCTGCAGCCTGTTCTGTGGCTCTTTGGTGGGGCAGTGTCCCAGGTGGAGCAAGTCAGGCTGTCGAGGGTGGGGAAGGGACTTCTGTCCTCCATTTATAGAGAGAGGGACCAAAGACGGAGGGCTCAGCCTCTGTGCTTAGACGTCCGTGGGCCTTGGGATGCGCTCAGGTCTCCAGCTCTGCTCCGCTAGAAAGCTGGAGAGGCAGGGATCTGGCTCAGTCCCTGCCAGCTCGTGTGCTTCTGAGGCCTGACCTGAGGACCTGGTGACGGTGTCGGGATGTCTAAGGAGTCTCGTCACCTGACACTGGGACAGTGACGTAGTGTGACAGCGCTGACTGCTGTCGAGCCGCACGCGTGCACGTGTTCCGGATGCCAGATGACGCTCTGTGCAGTGGAGCAGAATGCAGTACAGGGGTCGCCAGGCACTCCGTCCGTCCGTACCCAGCATGCGGGGTTCCGCACACTGCTGCTTGATTTGGGAGAGTTTGCGCCTGCCGCTTCTCTGTCTCTTCAAGAAACTCCCAGCCGCCTTCTGCGGTCCTGTAAATTTAAGTGCAATATGTAGAAACGCATTTGAATAGATACAGATTATATATATAGGGTATGACTATAACGCAGGTCGATTACTTTTTTGCCTCTGTCTTGGGGAAACCAGTTCATTACCGGAGAGTTGAACTATGCCAAGAATTCCTGGTATGACTGGCTGGTGTAAGCCGACTCCAAGGGAAGCTGGGTTTTCTTACTCTAGGTCTTAGAGACTTAGTGTTCCTTGGCTTTGTCAGAGTTGAGGGTTTTTTCCCCCCACTCATCTTTGTACCGTCTCATGTTTGCCTGTCTTGCCCTGGAACAAGGAAGTCCACCTGCAAGGAGTTCCCTACGTGGAGAACTGAAATCTAATAGATAATACTCTCAGTTCTCCTGTGTGTATACTAACTTCCCTGCGAATGTCAGTACTTTATTAGATGAAGAGAATGGCGATGTCTTCATTTAATAAGGTATTTTCCACATCCTACGAAAGTTATAAAACTCAAACAGAATAGATTGAAATGTTAACTGTCCTTCAGGGGCCAAAGAAAACCCTTTGCACTGGCAGAATCTTCATTTTTCAGGCCTGAATGACATGATCTAAGAATTTAAGCCATTCATGTCCATTATTACATAGCGAGATTTAAAAGTATAACAATAAGCATAGTCATATTTCTAAGTAAAAGGTATGATAGCAGGGACCGTCGGTTACCCAGAGTAGCACGATTAAAGCACAGATCATTGAAACCCATAGATAATCAGTGTTTCAACTTTCCTATCAAACAATTGATTGATTTCTGTTTCCTCCCTACTCCTTTCTCACAAGCACGTCTCCTTCAATGGGACGGGGCGAACCGGTAGTTAGAAAAGGAGAAAGAAGACCCACGGAGGGGCTAGAAACCAGGAAACTGACAGCAGTCAGCTGTGCTTGGTCATTCGACAGCCGTTGGGCTCTGGAAGTTAGGGACCGCGGCGGTGATCCCGAGCGCAGCTGTGACTGCTCGGCCTGACCCCTGCCCTGACCTCCAGGCTGTCTGTCCTGGAAGCACCAAGCCCCCGTGGGCAGAGCAGCTGTGGACGTGCAGGGGCAGTCCCCCGCCTGAGCACACTGCGTGGATGCTGACCAGCACTTGCTGTCCTTCTCGTCATGTGGGAGGCCTCTCTCCTCTGGCACCTGGGAAAGGTCCGATTCTCCTCGGATATGATGTTGGTCTCCTGCGGTAAAGCCAGCGCTCTCACGGATGTGTACAGAGTGGCACAGGGGATCGCGGGGGCTACCTGCCAGCATTCTGATGTAGCACAAAAAGCCATTCTCCTTTTTTTTTTTTTTTTTTGTCTATTTTTCCGGCGTTGAGCTTGGGGGTGGATGAGGGTTTATGGTTCCATGCTCACGAGCCCCCAAACTAGTCACTGGCCAGGGCCAGGGCGCCGGCAGGGCGGAGGGAGGCTTGGCAGGTGTTGGCCATGGCGACCCCCTTCTGCAGGTGCGCGGTTCGGCGGTGAGCGACCTCTCCCCTAGTCTGGTGTTGAAAGCTGAAGTCCTGACTTGTGCTTCAAAAGTGGTACCCATCTTTTGAGTGTCATATTTCGTGTTTTTAATTTTGTAAAAACTTTGAAGAAGTCTTGGAAAGGCCCTGCAGAGTCAGGGTACAGGGTGCGTCACAGGCAGTTTCCAGAGAAGACAAAGCGGTCCCACCCGAGCGGTCCCTGCTCTCTCACTGGTTCCGCACTTGGAACACCAGGAGGCGTCAGAAAGCGCTGGGTTTCTTGGAAGCCACTTCCTGTACACAGAGCGTTTGCGGGGGGGGCACGGCCTCCCCCGGTGAAGGCGCCCGCGAGCGAGTGACAAATGTGCCGGAAGGGCCTAGGCAAGGAGGGAAGCCTGTGTCTGAACCGCACTCTGAGGGGGGAGCCGAGGGCGGCTCGGGCCGCACGGGCGCGTGAGGTCGCGTGGAAGTCCTTTTGCAGTCTGGTGTGCATGCCGTGTGATCAGGACAGCTTCTCCACTCTCCTCGGTTTCCTGCAGGCAAGTAGGAAACACAGTGAATTTACCCGAATACGTCCTATCTGTATTTATGTACCTTGTCAGTGTTTTGCTGTTGGTTTTCTAAAACAATCTGATCAATAAATCTTACCCAAATCTATCCGGTTCAAGGCTGCTTTGATTGTCTGCTAGGAACCTGCGAACATGTGTGAGCTCGCATAAAATAAGTGACACAGCGTCAGTGCTCCCCAGCCCCTCACCTGGCCAGGGGCAGTTTCCTGTGTGACACCTCGCACTCCCCAGCCCTGCCCTGCCAGCCTTGGGCTCCTGTGTCTGCCCACCGCCTGGAGCGCCGGGCCCGCAGCAGTGCCTGCAGTAGGACACGGCTCCCTCTACCAGGACGACAGCGAGGGAGCAGCTCGGGGGGCAGCCCACGCTCCCGCCTGGTGCCCATCCCACAGACAAGTTAGTATGGGGGCGTCGGGGCTCCAGGGAGCCGGAAGGGAAATTGTGACCTTGCACTTTACGGAGCCCGAGGACTCTCTTCATGACCCGCGGGGGAAGCCCCAGAGGGGCCCCTGAGCTCTGTGCAGGTGCTGTGGGGAGAAACCACAGCCTCTGTATTCCAGATGCTTCCCTCTGGTGCGTTTCCCTGTGTCTCATGTCCAGACGAGGCAAGGCCACCTTCAAGGTCTCCCTTCCAGAATCACACGTGTGTGTCTGATTGTTAGGGTTTCTGTTGGCTGTGCCTCAAACAGAATTTTAGCTACCACAACGTAAATTTTTAAGGAAGAAGAGAGACAATTCCTACCCATTCACCCACCCGACGGTTAACACGTCAGTGCCTCAGAGCAGTCTTCTTGCCTTTGACATTTTTCTCCTGTTTCTTTTAAAGCGCACTGCCCTCACACCTACCAGGCATGAGCAGTGTGCCCTCTACCCTGTAGAGTTTACATCAGCCAGCGCTGTGAAATGACCCTCTTCCCTTCTGATTTGGTTCTTGGAAAAGGCAGCCAGCCCCATCCTGGCCTGGAGGGCCGGGGCTTTTTCTTCTCCTGACAGGTAGAAAATTCTAGCTTGTTAGAACGCCAGTCCTGAGCTATTCCAACTGAACCACACAACCACATTGTCCTGCAGTCCATCTTCTGCGGTAATTGCTTGAGGGGGGTGCGTAGACATCACTGAAACCCCCGGACTACCTTCACATGGAAGGTCCAGATTCCAGGCCAGCACTAGGGTTCTAGAGCTTTCTCTGCACTGACGGACATGTTCGGTCTGTGCTGTCCACTGCAGTGCCAGCCTCTGGTCAAGGTGTGGCTATTCAGCACCTCAGCTGCGGCTAGTGTGGCCGAGGAACCAAACTTTGAATTTAATTTTAACTCACTTAAATATAAATAGGCACAGATGGCTGGCGGCCGCGTATTCGTGTAATTCTAGAAAGAGATGACCGGAGTTGGGAGTCAGGGCTGTTCTGCTCTGTATGCCACACTAGTCCCGAAGGTTTGGCTTTATGTATGCTGTTTTCACACACGCTGCAGTCAGTTCCAGCCAGCTGGCTTAAGAGATTTGGAGTTCTTTTTTTTTTTTTTTATTAATACTTATTTATTTTTTAATTTGAGTTACAGAGAGAGATAACTTCCATTAACTGGTTCACTCCTCAGATGGCCACAACAGCCAAGAGTTGGGCCAGACTACAGCCAGGAGCTTCTCCTGGGTCTCCCACGTGGGTACAGAGGCCCAACCACTTGGACCATCTTCCACTGCCCTCCCAGGTGCATTAGCAGGGAGCTGGATCTGAAGTGGAGCAGGGGCCGGCGCTGGCACGATGGGTTGACACCCTGGCCTGAAGCGCCGGCATCCCATGTGGCCTGGCTGCTCCACTTCTGATACAGCTCTCTGCTGTGGCCTGGGAGAGCAATGGAGGATGGCCCAAGTCCTTGGGCCCCTGCCCCCGCATGGGAGACCTGGAGGAAGCTCCTGGCTCCTGGTTTCAGATCGGTGCAGTTCCGATCATTGTGGCCAACTGGGGAGTGAACCAGTGGATGGAAGACCTCTCTCTCTCTCTCTGTGTGTGTGTGTGTGTGTTGCTCTGACGTTCGAATAAATAAATCTTTAAAAAAAAAAACAAAACAAGGAAGTGGAGCAACTGGGACTTGAACCAGTGCCCATATGGGATGCCAGTGCAGCATATGGCATCTTAACCCACTGTACCACAGACTCTCTAATGTCATAGTACAGTAGCCCTACTTTCCTTTTCCTTCAGGTGGGTCGGGTAATAGTCACCGGTCTCTTGCTACCATTGATTGTGTGCTTAGAATGCTGTCTGGCAGGAATAGACTGTAGATTGTTACAAAGTGTTCGCTCAACAGTGCAAAAGTAGCCCCTGAAGGAACTGAGCCTGAGAGGGTGGGGAAGGTGCACGGGCTGACCCCTGCTGGCTGGCAGGAAGCAGTGCCAGGGTCTTGGCATTCACGGGAAATGTGTATGATGAGAGCACGAGGATGGACTTCCAGTGTTTATTTTTTTGCACCAAAATGGACTTACCTTCTAATTGCATTTTCCTCAAACTTTTTGAATGTCTCATCTATAAAATACTTAAAATTGAAATAGCCGGGTAAGCATATTAATTAGAGACGTGAAGGGAAGCATCCCCTCTCCCCCCAAAATAAAACAGCTAAAAAGAGTATTTTAAAGAGGCATTGTTGGCCGGCGCCATGGCTCAATAGGCTAATCCTCCGCCTTGCGGCGCCGGCACACCGGATTCTAGTCCCGGTCGGGGCACCGGATTCTGTCCCGGTTGCTCCTCTTCCAGTCCAGCTCTCTGCTGTGGCCCGGGAGTGCAGTGGAGGATGGCCCAAGTGCTTGGGCCCTGCACCCCATGGGAGACCAAGAGAAGCACCTGGCTCCTGCCTTCGGATCAGTGCGGTGCGCCGGCCGCAGCGGCCATTGGGGGGTGAACCAACGGTAAAGGAAGACCTTTCTCTCTGTCTCTCTCTCTCACTGTCCACTCTGCCTGTCAAAAAAAAAAAAAAAAGGCATTGTTGCTATTATGGGATTTTTTCCTGGAGAGGCAGTGAGATTGTGCATGTCCCCATCCTCTGCTGGTTCATTCTTCAAATGCCTGCAGAGGCAGAAGCCAGAAACTCAATCCAGGTCTCCCATGGGGGTGACCAGGACCCAGCTACCTTAGCAACCACCTGCTGCCTCCCAGCTTGGACCCTCCAGTGTGGGATGCAGGCTTCGTTCGCAGCCGGAGTCGGCCACTGCTTCAAACAGCTGCGCTCAGCCAGAAGACAATTAGGACTGGGTGGGAAGTGAGAGGACGACAGCACGAACCACTGCTTTCAAGTGTGTTCCTGCTACGCTGCTTCTCCTGTCTGAAGCAGAATCTTTACTGCTCTGTTTAGTTTAGTTCTTCTTCTTAGATTAAACCAGGCTGTGCCGGTTTGCTGGAGAACTAATATTTTAAGTTCCTCACTGCTTCAGATGCAGGCTGACGTGTTGGGGAGCCTTTGATTTAAAAGCCGGGCCAGCGCTGCGGCTCACTAGGCTAATCCTCCGCCTGCGGCGCCAGCACACCGGGTTCTAGTCCCAGTTGGGGCGCCAGATTCTGTCCTGGTTGCCCCTCTTCCAGGCCAGCTCTCTGCTGTGGCCCGGGAGTGCAGTGGAGGATGGCCCAAGTCCTTGGGCCCTGCACCCGCATGAGAGACCAGGAGGAAGCACCTGGCTTCTGGCTTCGGACCGGTGCAGCGCACTGGCCATAGTGACCACTTGGGGGGTGAACCTTTCTCTCTGTCTCTCTCACTGTCTAACTCTGCCTGTAAAAAAAAAAAAAAAAAGCCAGTCGTGGGGGTGGGTGTTGGCGCAGTAGCTAACCCGCCACTTGGGATGCACCGCATCACAGTTCCCTGGGTTTGAGTCTGGACTCCACGGGTTCCAGCTCCCTGCTGATGCACACCCTGGGTAGCAGCAAGTGCTGGCTCTAGTACTTGGGTCCCTGCCACCCACATGGGGGACCCAGACGGAGTTCTAGCCTCCCGGCTTTGGCCTGGCCCGGCCTCAGCTGTTGTAGTATTCGGAGAGTGAACCAGCAGATGGGGAAATTTTTCTCTCTGCCTCTCTAATTAATTAATTAAAAAATAAAACCCAGCCCTGGATGCTGGTGGGAGGAGAGCCTTTTGAAGAGCTTTTAAAAATAAAACCCAGTCTGTCAAGTTTTAAGTGTGGTTTTCATCCTGTTGCCCAAAGCCTGTTCCTCACCAACCTGTCCATTCATAAAATCAAGCAAGGACATTACTGCAGGGCAAAGGCGTCTGACATATTTCACAGACGGCTGGGAGGGTGGGAGTGGGGTGGGGTTCCTGAGTGAATCTACAGCAGACCCAACAAATCTGGGCACGGGCCTAGCATCTGGCCCCGCAGTCCCCAGTGCAGAAAGGACCCCCAGTCCTCAGGTGCCCCCGCAGCCAGCTCAGCAGCAGGGCCTTGGAGCCCAGGTCGGAAGGAGACAGCCACTCGGGGCTAGGAGGAGACAGGGCACCTGCAGCTGGGACCCCACACCAGTGCCCAGGGGCTTCAGAGCAGTATGGCAGGCGGCATCTGTGAGACGAGGAGAAGGCAGCTGTCCGTCCCTGTCACCCCAGTGGGGAGGCTGTCACTGTGAGTGCTGTACAGTGTGCTCTAACTCTGCCCCACCTCATGGGAGGCAGCAGGTTTCTTTAGTCGCCCACACCCAGAGACATAACACCCCGGCCCACAGGCACCTGCTGCTCCCTGGTGCTTAGCTGCTGAACCTCAGCAGGAGCAGGCCAAGGTCAGGTCATGGTGCACATCAGCGTCCACTCCTTGGGAACCCTGCGCTGTCCTCACACGCGACCAGGAGCATGAGCGACGCCAAAGCTGCCAGGGCACTCCGGGGTCCAGGACCCCAGCCACAGCTTTGCGCCTGATCTAAGCCACCTCCCCTGAGAGCCCGCCTCTGCCCAGCGGGTGCCCGGCTCCCTTGATGGGCCAGCCCTGTCCTGGAACAGGAGCCGAGCCGTCTTCCGCCCATGTCACAGAACGGTGGGTGAAGGCAAGCTCAGGTAAGTGGCTAGACAAGCAAGTTACCCAGACCCTCGAAGCCGGGAAGAGGGTGCCGATGCCGGCAAGGCTGCGAGG